CTACCTACCTACCTACATCTATCTATCTATCTATCTATCTATCTATCTATCTATCTATCTATCTATCTATCTATCTATCTATCTATCAATCATCTATCTATCTACACACACACATACACGAAACCACATAAAAAAGCCCTTGTGTTCATGTATGTAGGTACAGTGCTAAAGGAGAGAAAATGAATATATTTGGACAGAAATGTGGAGACTTCAGCATTCAGATATGTCCACCTGCCTATCATGTGTATGTGGAAGTATATCGACAAGATACTTATTTTGCTGGAAATTTTTGTATTTCATTTCTAATGGGTCACGGTGAATGATTGATTGACATAATTACTTCAATTGTTTCATTACCATACTGGTGACTCCCCTGTTAAATAATTAAATTCTTCCTTCACTTCAGTCCATTCCAATGGATTCAAAAAGACAAATGAATATGGTAACAAGTTTGGTCCCCAAGCCTTAAATCACCATGCATCTTGAAATGTTACTTCTCAGAAAGAAATGATTGTGATTGGTGGTTGCTTGTGCATTGGCATGGAACTTAGTTCCCTTAGTAAACGAGGATGAGGTACACCATGTTTTCCCCTCTGACTTAACGCCTATTAATTATTAGATGCGATTCAGTCATTCCTTTCCTTTATTCCACTGGTTTTCCGATGTAGAAGCCCTTTCAAGTTATGAGATCAGCGGTACTCACCAAACTATATAATAAGTCAGGTTTGCAAATTGCAACGGCCTCCAACTGATTCCCACTTTTAGCACAGATAATTTACACAACCAAAAGGCCTATTAATGGATCAGACTCATTAATGTTGATTCAGGGAACATATATAGGGAACTACAGGATCCAATTTATTGTACATCTCTCTTTCTGCATGCAATACTTCCTTTGCCTTCTTTGATAAACTTAGACATTATCCTTGCGTCTCCTCTTAGTAGATATTCATGGGTGTAAGAGCAAAGAGGAATCATCTGGACCAACCAAAAATGAATAACCATTGTTGCTTTTGGGAATATCATTGACAAGTTCATTTCAACTGAAATCTGGAACTTCTCAATACTTCCTTTGGCTACTATGGCTAATGGACAACTATCAATTTATCATGCATAATATAGTTATACAATCCATAATTTAGTCACCCTAACAGAGACTATCAACAAGCTGCCTTCCATTAAGTGAGATCCAAACTGTCAACAGAGCTGATATGAGCTCTCGAGGGTTTGGCCCATAATTATTCACGTCCATCTAAAAATGACAAGAATGGAATCAGAACTTTCTACAAGAGAAGGGACGTGGTGGCTCAATGGCTAAGATGCCGAGCTTGTCGATCAGAAAGGAAGGAAGTTGAGCGGTTCGAATCCCTAGCTCCGCGAAACGGAGTGAGCTCCGTTACCTGTCTCAGCTTCTGCCAACCTAGCAGTTCGAAAGCACATAAAAATGCATGTAGAAAAATAGGNCCAGCTCAAGGTTGACTCAGCCTTCCATCCTTCCGAGGTGGGTAAAATGATGACCCAGATTGTTGGGGGCTGACTCTGTAAACCGCTTAGAGAGGGCTGAAAGCCCTATGAAGCGGCATATAAGTCTAACTGCTATTGCTATTGCTAAAAAGTTGAACTTAGGGATTTTGGCCTGCAGTTCTCAGTTCTGTTTATGCTTGACAGCAATACAATTGACTTCTAATATATTTTTTTCTTGCCCAACAAATGTAGCCACGGGTTGTTTTTACTTAGAGGTTTAAGTAGTGGCGGTTTTGACAGTTTGGTGGACGATGAATGGCCCCTCCCAGAGTAAATAAAAGAGGAGCGAAAGGGGAGTGGAGTCAACAGCAACCACGTGACAACATTGCCGCCTCCTAGGATTTGTTTTGGCTTCTCAGCCAACCGCTCTTGGATCTCCAAGGTGTCCCCCGAGCCAGTAAGGATGAGGGGTTGTCACGTTTAAATTTTAAGATCAACCAAGGTCAACTTGATACGGCCACCCACTGAGGTCTTCCAGCTGTTGCTTTGTTCAAGCTCCCAGCATCCCAAATATTGACCATGCTGGCTGCGGTTGGTGGGAATTATATTTCAGCAAGGATCTGAATCACTGGGAAGAGTTCAGTTGGGGCTGAAGCGAGCCATTGTTCAAAGCAGTGGTGAGAATACTTCATCAAGTCAGATTTTATATCTGTTGTTTTTCAATGACACGGCGCATCATTTTCCTTTGGGCTGGCTGACGTCGCTTTTGCATTGTCTGTTTTCTGTTTTGTGCTGCGCCAAACATTTCTTCTTATTCATAGAAAAGCATCGGCTTCTACTTTTTTTTTTTTTTAATTCAGAAGAAATTCTGAACTACCCCTCAATGGAAAACATCCCACTGGACTTTTTCAAAATAGGAACAAATGACAAAGTCTTAGAAACCAAAACCAAATCAACCCACAATCTAAGCTGGCTGTGGCAAAACAAGATAAAACATGTTATCAAAAGAAATGATTCATCCCAAGAAGGAGTTATAAAACAGACTTTTCTTTTGCAGGAACTGAATTTAAGAGTGCATAAATTACTTCTTCTTGGCATAATATTGCCCGAAGGCTCTTACATTGTCATTGTCAGAAAGCGTGGAACTTTGGGGTTATAGTAGACAAAAGAAATACAGGACGATTTTACAAATAGTTTGCTCAGGGCAAAATATTAGAATAGAATAGAATAGAATAGAATAACAGAGTTAGAAGGGATCTTGGAGGACTTCCGGTCCTCCTGCTTAGGCAGGAAACTCTATACCATTCCAGACAAATGGCTATCCAACATCTTCTTAAAGACTTNCTAGCTCCGCGAAACGGAGTGAGCTCCGTTACCTGTCTCAGCTTCTGCCAACCTAGCAGTTCGAAAGCACATAAAAATGCATGTAGAAAAATAGGGACCACCTTTGGTGGAAAGGTAACAGCATTCCATGCGCCTTCAGCATTTAGTCATGCCGGCCACATGACCATGGAGACACCTTCAGACAGCGCTGGCTCTTTGGCATCTGAAATGGAGATGAGCACCACCCCTAGAGTCGGGAACGATTAGCATGCATGTGCAAGGGGAACCTTTACCTTTATAACAGAAGGACGCACTAAATAATGAATCATTGCTCGCCCCTATAAAACACTTACTCTACAAGCATGCAACCCACCCTTAAACAACTGTGTTGCTAAGAAGATCCTTGCAAATTCCATACAGTACGTTAAAAGGATAAGTTGTAAGCAGTGATACACCAAACAGGTTGAGATTACAGTATTGAACATTGATCTGAGCATGTGGAAACGTTACAAAAATGATGCTCTATTAACAACGGTGGCGATTAACCCAACATGCATATATTCCTGTATTGGCTGAGCAGTGAACTTGAACTGAAAGCCACTTTTGCTGGCCGCAAGCTGTCAAGAGTCTGTCTCACGGCACAGAATAATTTGCCATGTATAAGCATTTATTCTACATTTGTATAATATGCTGTACGTCTATCCAACACCAAACACATACAGGGGCTAAATTAAATCAGCATCTTGAGTTCTGGTTAGTGGACACGGGATTTTAATTGGCGAATCTTGGAGTTCTAGTGAACAGTTAAGTAGATCCTGAAATCTGAAAGCTGCTCATCTCTTTGCTTAACTGAAACCAGGGGGGAAATAATATGATATGTGCATTTTGCACACATATGCCGTCCGAACACAAGGACTATGTACACCCCACCCAAGTGCATTCTCCAAAAGTCAGAAGTTGCTTAGAGTAGAGTTTGTCAAGAGTTGGGATGAAACTCTTAAGACATGGTTAGACATGACATATACACAGCAGATCCAAGGTACAATTGTATGATTGCTTAGAAATAATTAAGGTCAACCGATATCAAGCAGATAACCTAATACAGGTCTAGGCAAGCCTTTTTACATTTTTTGCAGAAGGGATTCTTCTCTTCTTTAGACCAGCGACCTGGTAATATTAGGGATGTGTTAAAGTTGTCTGTCTTTTACTGATCGTTGTTGTTAAATTTGGAGTCATGTAGTATTGGGGAGGAAATGAAATTTTAAAGTCAAACAAGATGCTAAGTCTAGCGAAGGCTTAACGTATCTATTTTGCTTCCTACTATATTAGAAATAGCTCAAAAATTCTGCTATCAATCCTTGGTAAGATGATTCGGTCAGGCTTGCTCACTCCCACCCTAATAAGTGGGAGTGAGATTGCAAATATCACGTTATTAATTAAGCAATTAACCAGATTTATGTGCCCACCCAGTCAAAGGCTCACTGAGATAAAAGCTAACCTGAAAAATGCAAATCAGATGCATAAAGAAGGTTACAAAAAAAATCCTAGCACAAAAATAACAACACTCATCCTCAGCATTTATTGCTTATATTTTGAAGGTATCCTTTTGGGGTTTTTAAAAGAGCTTTATGGAGTTCTGGATGCTAATTTCTAGTATTTCAGGAGTAGGGAAGGTTGTTGAATATTTCAACACATTTGCATTTTAATGGAGTTAAAAAAACGTGTTACTTTGAAAAGTGCTGAAAAACTGGAGCAGGGGAAGAAAATCAGCCCAGGATTTGTAATAATACACCCCTTTCTGCTCACTTCTCCTACATTGCTTCCGGGATGGATCTTACAAGAGGCCCCGGAATATTCATGGCAGGGGAGAGGTATCCTTTGTAGAGGAAAAAGGAAAAACAAACCATGCATTTTGGTGTCAGTCACTATTTTTTAAATGGATGCCCCTTGGAATCAAGGATGATGCTCAGAGTCTGAACTCCAAAGTTCAACTCATATTCTGCAGATTTCTAGAGGTAATCAATAATTATGCCCTAATTGGATAATTAATAAGCTCTTTCCTTCTCCCCCCCCCCCACGCTTCCGCCTAGCGCTGGTCACTTTGCAACTGGATTGAGATTTTATTAAGAAGCATGATCAGAAAGAGTTAGGAGCCTTCCCTTCAAGACTGCAATGATTAATTAGCAGCAATAATAGTAATAATAACAACAACAACAACAACAACTAGGATGCTGGGGCAATCCGTATCAACCATTAGCATTAGTCAATGGTATTTGTGATACATTTTTNTTTTCCCTTTCTTTTCTCCCTCCCTCCCTTCTCTACTTTCATCCTTCCTCCTCTCCTTCCCCTTCCTTCTTCCCTTGCCTTTCTCCTACTCCTGCTCTTCCTCTTCCCTTTCCTATCCTCTCTCCTTCTCTTTCTCTCCCTTCCATCATCCTCTCCTTACCTCTTTCTTCTTTCCCCCATCTTCCTTTCGTTCTCTCCTCCTTTCTCCCTTTCTTTTTCTATTATTGTTGGTGTATATTTCAAAAGTCAGTTTATGTTTCTTTGGGATGGTATTTCCGCCAATCCAAATATAATTTAGTATTATTTCTTATTCTCTTACCTTCGCTAGTCTACCTTAGTTATGTTTCCCTCTTTTATACCTCATTTTTGAATATATACGTATATATTTAATATTTTCTTTTCTGTTTTCCCTTTCATCCCCAGAATTACTTGCAATATTATATGGGGTGGGGAGAATGAATCAAGAGGTTAAGTAGTTGGGTCACCCTTGTCAAAAATATGCCCATAAGGCTTTGGATGTACTATTTGGAAGAAGAATAAGATTGGTACTAATATGATCAACCTATATCTAATAGGGGGTTCTGAGCTAGGCTTCCCAAAAAAGCATGAGGCAGAGTCCTGGTCCTGACAAAACCCCTTTTATTAAACAAATGTGAATTCCTCGCATTCAGCAAGGCCTGGTAAACAGTCTTTCAAAGCAGTAATTATGACTACAGACATTATCTATCTTGGAAAGCTGCCATGTAAATATTTTCCAAATGTGGTGCTGGGCCAGGAAAGGCTCGGCACAGAGTCTCTGAGATTCACGGACAGATCTTCACACTCCTGAAATGAATCTAACGACTGACTGAACGAATTGTTTCCTTCAAAAGCCCCCTCCCCTTTCACTGCTGTTTTATTTCCTATGGGAGAGGCCAATCACCTTCCACCTGTGGCTTTACTCCCAAATCGACCCTGAATTCTGAGCTGTTCTTTTCTTCTGGCAGCTCTGCACATGTGCACACTGGGAACAGGCTCCAGCTGTTCCTCTGCCTCACTGCTGTCTAGCTCCAAAGGCAGCTGAGAATTGCCAGACGGCCTCGGCCACCTCTCTGTCCCCGATATAGAGCCCTTATCCAAGCCTTCCCCAGCCTCCAGGACTGGCCCATGCTCCTCCCCAACCTCCCCACTGTCCGACTCTGCTGCCAGGGATTAGAACATAGAATACAAAATCTTAGGGTTAGAAGGCCCTTGAAGATCTTCTAATCCAACCCTACATCTACATTCATAAAAGCCCGGGTGGTGGTGGGGATAGGCATTAAGGAGACTAGCCTTGAATCCATAGCCCCAAAACACAGTTTACTACTTTTACAGTAGAAGCCAGGCAAACTGCTCTGCTTGTTCCATTATATGGCTTGATACTGTCACTATTCATTGGGAAACAGGTTTTTTTGAGTTGGACTTAACTTATTTATGACTACGTAGGGATTCTAGGCTGATCTCCCTTTTTACTCCGCCCCTAGTTCCTGCCATCCTTTCTCCTACATCAAAGGACTTCAACCATAACAACATCTATCATCCGCATTCTATGGTGACAAGCCTTGTTTTTACCTGATCATGGCGGGCTGGGGAACTCTGGAAGTCGAAGTCCACATGTCTTAATGTTGCCAAGGTTGGACACCCCTGATCTAAATATTGTTTTGGTTGAAGCTCTTCCTCCTATGCCTCAAAGTTACCCCTTCTTCCCCATCCCCTGTTCTGTGGAAAGTCCCCATCTTTGCCTTCCTCCCCGTTTATCACTTGTTGGAAATGCCTCAATGGAGTCTTTACTTACAGTAAATATTCATGGATCACCTTCTTGGTGAAGAATTCATCTAAGCCTTCATCCAACCTGGCAATGCTTCTGTCTTCTGTGTTCTCACGCACAGGCGGCTGAACCTAGAAGAAGACTCACCGTTACGTTTCCTCCATTTAGGGCTTTTGGGATATTTTAGGGAAGCAACATAGAAGATACATGGAATAGCACTTTCCATCACACCAATCTGTACCCGTTGTGAATGGCGAAAGGATGAGGAAGGTCAGCATCATAGGTGGTATTCAGCTGGTTCTCTCTGGTTCGGGCGAACTGGTAGCGGCAGCTGTGGGAGGCTCTGTCCCCCACCCCCGATGTAATGTGCGAGCACTGTGCTCGCGCAGAAGGTGGTGCCCATGCGCCGAACCCACTACAGAGGTGAGTTCCTGCCAGTTCGCACCAGTTCGGTAGAACCGGTTCGTCAAATCTACCAAACCGGTTAGAAGAGCTTCACCAGTGGACCCAGAAAGCAGGCCACACCTACAGAAGAGATTGCAAAAATTTTTGAAACCCACCACTGACACACACACACACACACACACACACACACACACACACACACACACACACAGAAAGAGAAAGAAAGAAAGAAAGAAAAAAAGAAAA